GGTTTAGTAAATTACCAAGAGGTCTCATAAAATGAGTTTTTGGATGTTTGCAGGTATATCTCAGGAATCATTCAGCTACAACACTTTGGACAGAGTCCTTCCTATTTGTCTGTCTATGTAGACATCCATGAGACTTAAGCTTACTACTTTAAATTGTCAACCCAGAATGGAAGGATTTGTTTCTGCTCAATGTCTGTGGCTTGACTGTCTTCACTAATGCACAGATGACTGGGTGCTTGTAACCTCTGCTCTGTTAATAATTACTTAAAAAGGCATAATAACTCCATTCTTCTTTACTAGCTTGGGATGGTTTGTGGGAGCATCACAACCTGTGTCTGAGGTTCTACCTTTGAAACAAGATGGCATAGTGTTTATAAATCATTGTAAGCTATAACTAACTTTCTATAGTCTCTCTTTCTCATAATCTTTTTATTCCCGTTATTTAAAATACTACTCTTTGAAAGCCAAAAGAAAAAAGAATGAAAAACTTAGCAGTATATTTCATGAAAATTCAATGAAGACAATAGGTATAACCTAAGTTTTTAATATATCTTATGAAGGGCATAAAACATAGAAGAAAACACATTTGAATTTAATATTCCATAACTTAAAAACTAAGAGTTGTAGTTTGATTGACAGGGGCATGCATAATTTTATGATGGAAGCGTAGAAGGGGCACTTGCATTTCACTTATAAACCTGTGATTTTAACATTCAAATATTCATTTTCACATGTAAGAATTAATTATGTAACTGTAATTTTATATTTAATAGTTATCATATGGCAACTGAAGTAAATATATGCAAAAATTTTAAACACTTTTCAGAATGAAATGATAATCATAAATTTATATAAAAACAAAACAGTGTAAATACTACAAACATGTAAAATAGGTAACATCAGCTTCTTGGTATACTTCACCTTTAATCACTAATTGCATGTGTGAATGCCCGCAATTGTATATACATTGTTAGCTGTCCACATAGTAAAGTTTTTTTTCTGAATCCTGACAAACTCTTCTCTGCTCTATCACTCAACATTTCCTATGCTGGACTCTGGTTAAAATGCTCGTGCTATTGATGGCCTCAAAAAGTAACCATAAAAAGTTTCAAACAATACTGTACTTCAAAACATATAAAATATGAGATTAGCAGTACAGTAACAAATTAAGGTATACATATGAAATAAAGTAAGCTATGAGATGCAAGCAACAGGAAAAAAGCATAGTCATTATCAGGTATGCTCTTGATGATGAACAACATGGAGGACTAGTTTTGAGATATATCAAATATTTGCATACTAAAATGTGTTTTAAATAGAAAGATGAATAAATGCTTTCAGATTTTGCTGCCAGTGAACCAGAAAATAAGAGAGTATTTTAAATTCATTTTCTACATTATTTGTATGAATGATTGAAGTTTTGAATATTAAAATGTTCAAGACTATTTTATAGTTATAAATAAAAGCCTGTTATTTAGTTTAATTTTAAAATTTAAAGTAGAAATGAAGTTTATTCACAATAACACACAAATAAATATATGTATGTAATAAAGATTTGCTACAATGAATTATGCATTTGCAATTGGTTTCTGAGTTGAAATTGTATTGATCTTAAGAGTGACATGGAGGACTATCTTGGAATTAATCTTATATCTCAGTCTTAAATTGTGTGTGTGTGTGTGTGTGTGTGTGTGTGTGTGTGTGTGTGTGTGTGTGTGTAGAGGCTGCTTAAGAAAGCATGGGATTAAGCAAACATGTGAGACAATGAAATAGGAAGTGTTCAAAGCATTGCTTTATTTGTTTATACAGCTTGTACTCACCATGAAAGCATTCTACTTGTTTTTTTTTCCAACATTGATACAGAAACAGGATGCGACAGAATTCAGAGAAACAATCAAGGATAATTGGCAGTCATTGAAACTGATGTCCCTACTTAGGAATCTCTGGCCCTCACCTAGTAGCAATGGCCTGAAATCAATGCTTTAACTTTGACTTGCATTTTTCATTCTTTTCTGAGCCCTTTATGGCAAGCAGCCTTTTTAAGATGTGCGATGACACTGGAGATTTGTCAAATTTTCTTTTAGTTTGTAACATCTCATCATTCACAAAGATCTGCCAGAGTCTGTGGTTCAGATCTCCAAACTCAGCTTTTTTTCACTGCATTTTCATTCAGTAAAAAGTGGGAAGCTTTTTAACCACAGTGATTAAACAATTCCAATGACACATCTTGCTCTTGCCTCTTCTGCTTTCCACTTCTCCAATTCTTTCTCAGGAATTATGTTTACAAAAAGAATTGAAACTCTGCCATCTTGGGCTACCAAGGTGACTCAGTGAGTAAATGTGCTTGGTGCCCTGCCGGATGATCAGACTTCTGTCTTGGAGAAGAACAGAGTTGAAGGACAATCTACTCTTCCAATTTATGCCTTGACTCCCCCTACACACTCTGTGGCACATATGTATACTTACATATATACACCCACACATACATAATTTAAGACTGAGATTAATACAAAGAAAATTTACAATTATTGCATCATTATTTGTAATATCACATATCATTATAAAATGTAACCTCTATATCATTATATTATTATATAACTTATTATATAATATGATATTATTGTATATATTATTGTATATATTATTTCATAAAAATAAAATGAAAATAAATTAAAGAGAGACGACTATACAATCTAGTTTCTCTACTATCACTCCTTCTCCCCTGCCTCCTACTGTCATTTCAGACTAGATCTAGTCTGAACAACCCAAGGCTGGCAAGATGTCATTCAAGCTATCAGTGTTTGAAGTACTGACATCACTCTTTTCAAGCACATTCAATACAGGTCTCAGACTATGACTTTTTTCTCAGCACTCTGTTTTCTGGACCATCTTTTCTCTTTCCACTGTTTTACCTATCATTTCTTTGAGTTATAAAATCTAACCCTCTTATGGGTCAGCTCCAAATTTTGGTTCTTTCATAATCTGTTCTTGCATTTCTCGTTAGAAATCATCTCCTTTTTAGTAACTTCCCTCTCCTTCAGTATTTCATTAGCCTTTTATTACTTATTCATATCACTTCCTTTTTTGCCTTAGATGAGATAATAATCCCAGCCAAGAACCATAGTCCATCCTTTCTGGTACAGCTTGCAGTTTCTTCTACAGGTCCTATTATGGGGTCTGTGTAAGAACTGCTTGGATGAACAAGTAATAGAACAGTCAAGCTAGGTGTTTGTTTGGAAAATTTAAATGATACTCTGTTTACAATGTGAAGATATGGTCAGCATCTGAATGATCGTGGTGAGGCTTCTGATTTATGTTTGATTTAAGCAAGGTACAGAGATTTATATATCAACCTTATCATTATAAATAGTATTTAAGTAGACAAATAGAGTGTCTTTCAATTTGTGAATTATATATAGAGGAGGGATATTATTGAATATACTTTATTTTAATTGAGGTGTTCTTTAAAATGGTGCTTTGAATACCTAAGCATGATAGAGCCATTTTCTTGGGTTAGGTACTGTGCACTACATTAAGCTATATCTTAAATAGGCACCTAATCCAGGACATGAGTTTATAGTCTACTTGAGACAAGGGTCTGTATTTTTATTACAATGTATATATATTGAACACATTATTAAGAGCCAAGGCAACCTTGGTACCACCCTAGTGCATCATATATGTAATGCTAGAAGGCATTCTCTAACACCTCCATATTTCTGCATCCTTTAATGAGAGACAATATGATGCCATTCACTATTTAGTGAATCTATCCTTTATTTACATCTTTCTATGTTTCATCCAATCCCTCAATATAGTTAATTAAATGGAAGGCTCTCTCTAATAGCATATGCATGGTGAACTCAAAAGGTAGAGTCTTTATATATATATGTATATATATATGTTATTTTAAGTACAATCTTTTTCTGTCCCACACAAAAAACTTAGTATGTTCATGATTGGGCTTTTGTTGTTGTTGTTTTGTTTTTTCAAGACAGGATTTCTGTGGGCAGCTTTTTTAGCCTGTCCTGGAACTCACTCAGCACACCAGGCTGGCCTCGAAATGACAAAGATCTGGAGTCTTTTGTTTTTAACTAAAATATTTCCTATTTGTCTCCATAGTTGTGGCACAAAACACCCCAGCCTAGACTAGGAGTGTCAAACCCCTAAGCTCTCCCAAAAGTGACTTCAATGTTCTTCCAAGCAAACATACTTAGAGCTTGCAGTGTATATAAACTATAAGAAATTGTACAAATGCCTATATACCTTGTTAAAATTAACTATGTTTATCTTTGTGGATCAATGATTCAAAGAGATGTTATATAGCACTGTACCAATTTACATTCTTGGTCTGCGTTTTACTTTATAAACAGCTGCACATCATGATGAATACATGTCTAACCTTTGGGGCATAGCATGAAACCCGACTCATTCCTTCCTCAGACAATGTCTTGTATCAGACACTGGTGTTTTACATTTATAGAATCAAAAATTTGAAAACGTCAAACTGGATGTCAGTGTTTAAGATTCTCAAATTTATCTGTTAATATAGGAGACATTGATTGAAAAGATAAACTAATTTAAGGTGAAGAACATGTTGCTGTATTGAGTATACCCATGCATACTAATTAAGTATAATGAAAGGAAATGTAAGAGATGCCAACAACTCTTTTTTGGAACTTTTCATGGTATCTCTATTCCATTTTTTCCTATTACATTGATATAGTCTTATCATATTACCGAGAAGTGAATTAAAACTAAAAAAAAAATCAGTGGTGATTCGAACCTGAACATTTCAATTATACTCTATTATTTCTGCTGAAAACCTTTCCCAATATCTCTGCCCTTCATTAAGTTTTATTTAATCTCATGCATTTATGCTATAAAATAATTATTTTCTTAATAAATGTCATCATCCTTGTAAGACAAGATGCATTAAAAATAAAACTATAATGAAACTGTAGATTTCATCTTAGGTAAATGCAGAGAAAACTACTTACCCCCAGTAGCCACAGTGATTTCACGTAGAAAATGACCATAAAATGGAAAATCGAAGGACAGATTCACTCTCTGCAAGGAACAACATCAAAAAAGAAAAAAAATCAATAATGTGCAGAATGGTAAATGTAAAATAGAGAGCTCTTCAATTACAGCTAATGATGTTTCTCCTTTACCCAATCTTATTGCAGTTGACCTTAAAAACTAACAGTGGGATGGTGCTAAAAATACATATTTTTTGCATTTAAGTATTTGAAGCTTATAAAAGAAATAAAGTTAGATTATTATAGTCTATTGACTTCCTTCTGTTTTCACAAAGTTTATGTGGAAATTTAAATTCTAAATCATGCTATTTTCTGCCAGTTCTTGCCACTGTTGTTTCATCGTTTATCAAGATCTTTCTATCATTTGATGAATACGTTATTTGGGGATAGTTTGTCCTTTTAGCAAATGATTAAAAAACAGTAGAATGGCTAAGGATATTGAGCACTTTCTTCAATGCAAATCCAAACAACTCTGAGATACCACCTTACTTATGTCAAAATGGCTAAAATCAAAAACACCAATGATAGTTTATGCTGGAGAGGATGTGGAGAAAGAGGAACACTTTTCCACTGCTGGTGGGAGTGCTGGCTTACTACCCAGCCGGGCGGGGGACAACAACAATAGAATCCTGAAATCTGCAGGCAAATGGATGGCACTAGAAGAAACCATCCTGAGTGAGGTAACCCTTTCATAAAAAGACAAAAATGGTATATAATCACTCATATATGGATTTTAGACATGGAGCAGGGGAATGCCAGCCTACAATCCCACTGCCAGAGAGTCTGGGGAACAGGGAGGACCCTAAGAGAGATATACATAGTACCACAGAGAAGGGGAATGAGAAGGATCTCCTAAGCAGAGTGGGAGCATGGGGGGAGATGAGAGGGAACTGTGAAGAAGAGAAGGGGAGAAGAGAAGGGGAGAGGAGGACATTCAGGAGCAGGAAGATAGAGTCGGGGGAAGAACTGAGGAGAACAGAATGAGAGGGAGTCATTATAGGTATGAGGAGAGATCTGGCACTAATGATATTTCTAGAGACGTACAAGGATAACACAAATGGGCAAAATAAGCAATAGTGGAGAGGTTACCTTAAATGCCCTTCCCTGTTAATGAATTTAACAACTACATTATATGCCATCCTAGAACCTCATCCAGTGGCTGATGGTAGCAGAGGCAGACACCCACAGCTAAACACTGAACTGAACTCATGGAAACCGGTTTCAGAGAGGGAGGAGTGATGAGCAAAGGCATCAAGACCGGGTTGGTGAAACATTTTTTATAAAATAAAGCTTGCTAACCCAAGTTATGTGTAGATTTTCTTGAACTAAAAAAATCACATGAGCCTTTATGGATCATCTGCATATGGGAATATGTGAAAATAAAACTTTTCTACTTTTGTGATAGGGCAAGTTGAAATGAACAAAAGTGTAAATGACATTGAAAGACAAAATACAGTAACAAATGCAATGTAGTCTGTGGGTTTTCACTGGGTACATATGATACTTGAGATTCTGGATATTTTGTTGCAAAGAGCTATGAAGGCAATTACAGTAATGGAGAGATTTTCAGATGTGATATTGATGACAGAGAGATTCTGCTAACTTTTCTCAGATAAGCCTTGTAAGAAATAGGCTTGCTATACTTTGACTTTCTGATTTACAATGTAGAAAATTCCTATTGATTTCCATGTTGTTGTGTACTTATATGTTACATATAAGCTGACATGAATAAGAGGAAGCTCTTGGACCCCAGACTGATGGCTGAGAGGTCAGCTGGTACTGATTCAGACCCCCTAAATTTGGGTGTCAGCACTCTGTGGGGCCTTGGGTAGTAGATCAGTATCTATCCCTGTCTTAAAATGGACTGTGGGACCCCATGCCGCATCAAGGGATGCTCTCTCAGCCTGGACCGATGGGAGAGAGCCTAAGCCCTGCCCTTGGTGAAAAGACAGAGTCTGGAAAACTCCATGGAGGGCCTCACTCTCCCTGGGGAGTGGAGTGAGGATTGGGTGGGAGTATTGGGGGGTTAGTGGGGAACAGGGGAGGAGGGGAGGGATAGGGAGCTGGGATTGACATGTGAAGCAAGCTTGTTTCTAATTTAAATTTTAAAAAAGTGAAAAAATGAAAAAAAACAGTAGAATGAAAACCAAAGATAGTGCTTTTCTCACTATTATAGTTTTGTTTATTGACTTTCTGTATTTCCTATAATAAAAATGATTGATGGGAGCTGATGTCATGGACATATAGATGCATGTTTGCTTATTGTAGTGAGTTATCCAGACATAACTTATTGTAGTCAATAAAAGAAAAAACATAGTTGCAGAACAAACAGTAGCTACTGGAGAGTTACTTTGATTTGATATTGGGAGAAATGGACAGATTTAAGTAGAAAGTGCCAAAGTCTTAACCTGTCCACTTCCTAAGGAAGCTTAGAGCATCAATTCTTAATATGTAAGATATTTCAAGTAAATATTTGGTTTAACACTAATGCATACAAAACTAGTAAAATACAACAATATAGATTTTTGTATGCCTTAAGCATTACAAGACAACACACAAGAACATACTACACTCAACAAAGACAATAATATCAATGATCTATCCATCCATCTATCATCTATCTAACACCCATCTATCTTCCTGAGTGTCCGTCATATATTTGTCACACAACTATCTAGCTAACATGCATCTATGTACATATATGTATATACATATCTGTGTATTCAACAGGAAGTTAATTAGCCAGGTGCAGCTCAATATCATGTGGAGACTTCCTATACTAAGCACTATTATGTTAAAATCCCACCATTTCTACATTCCATTTTTCTGACTATACAAATTAAAATGTAGAACAGTACATCTACTGGAATTTAGTTCTCTCCAATTTTGCAAACGATTGCCTTTGCATATCCTTCGGAGATTTCTAATGACTTATTGGCGCAGAGTTAATCATTCAGAATCTACATTGACTTTCAATTAGTTTTTATTTCCTTTTTCTTGAAATGCACATCTTCTGAAAAAGTTTTTCATAACGTCTATTTTATTCTAAGAGTAAAATAAAAATGTATATTCTGTGTCACTTGGAATGAGTGTTCACTGACAACACCAAAATGAAGCAATAATATTAAACTGATATGTCTGAAAGATGTCAAAAAATAATCTGATGAAGGTGGTTGTCATAGGGGACAGAATCTTACCATGCTAATGTCTTCCCCACACTCATTAGTAAAGTTACATCCTCACTACCATTTTGCTTTAAATATTTGTCACTAACAAATGCAATTTTCTCCAAGGATGAAAGGGAATCACATGGTCTATATTTTCTCAGATTGTGAAGAACAAAATAGGTGTTGAAATAAAAGTTAAGAGTCCATTATCCTCAGGAAATTACATCTATGATTGAATTGCCTACTTATCTACCTATCACTATGGTATCCTCTACCCTATACAATAGCAAAGTAGATAGCTCTTAGCAGGTGCTGTCATTTGAAGGGCTGTTAAATGTATACATTCCTCTTAAGTTACTGCTGATAATTCATGAACACACACACACACACACACACACACACACAAAATTCCTCTTAGATCATTGGCTCCAGTACCCCCTGAAGCTATTGTCTAACATCACTTCATTACCTTGTTCCAAAATCCTTTGGTCTATAGTATTTGGTCCCTGAGAATAACAGGAGTTTACTAAGCATTGTATTTCAGGCCTAGTCATATGTGTTACTGGACAACTCTGTACTGTATAGGTCTTCTTATACTAGCCTAAGACTGCAGCTTCTGCTTCTTTAAAACTAACACTCTTAACTTTTGGCTCCTGTCAGACATGACATATGAGCCTTCATTAGTCATGGTTCCTATATTTTTGACAAGTGTTACTCTAGTTTGAGTTGTGCCCTCAAGTCAGCCCCATATCTCATGACTAAGGAACAATCTTAACAAAACCCAAAACATAACATAAAATCTTTATCGAAAGAGAGTATATATATATATATATATATATATGTATATATATATATATGTGCCCATATGTATGTGTGATGTGTACATGGGCTATGGGTTATGCATGTATGATTCATGGACATGCTCCAGTGTGAATGCAGGAATGCACCGGGAGGGTCGGTGGTGTGTGTAGAAAGTTCTCATTTTCTTCTTTGTTAGAGGTGGGGGCCTCATTTTTTTTATTGTTCACTTTCATGTATGACATACTAGCTGGCCAGAGTGTTCAGGGATTCTCCAGACTCTGCTGTCCATCTTGCACCAGGATTGCAGATTACAGTGGCTTTGGTGTGGACTTGGGGATTTGATTTCATAGTCACCTGACTCCGCAGCAAGAACTTTATGCACTAAGCTATTTCTCCAGGTTAGACAGCACCTTTGTTTGGAGACTGGTCATGGAAGACACATGCTGAGAGATGCAGGAGTATTGTGGAAAAAGTAGTATAAGACAGGGGACATGTGATATGTCACTGGGCAAAGTGCCTGTTGTACAGGCATAAACAACTGAGTTTGGATATGGAGTACCCCATAGCAAGCTGGGAATGTTGGATATAATGACTACAGTTCCAGAGCTAGGGTCTGGAAAAAGTATATTCTTGGAGACCTTACAGGCCAGACAGTCCAGTCCTAAACAGTGAGTTCCAGGTTCAGTGAGAAACCCTTTCTCAGAAGATAAGCTAGGGCAGCAATTAAGGAGAACAGACTGATGCTAACACCTACATCCAAATGCACCTACACAGGTGAACTCGCCCACACATACACATATGCACACATGGATATGCAACCATATGTAATATAATACACATGTGAAAGACAAAAACCAAGCATGAATGGATACTACAATATATACTCTACCACTCTAGTCCTTAAACACAAAAGAACAAACAATCCAATTCATAGTACTATCTGAACAGTATCTCTCAGTAAGCTCTTTGAAACAACAGGGAACATGCTTGAACATCAGTGGAGGGCATGAAGCAGGCAGGTAGGACAGTGAATAAGGTTCAGAGTCTCCTTAGTGATGGG